ATCAAATCATTCTTAATCTAAATTTTTATTTAAAGTTAACCATTCGGTTTATGTTACTTGATCGTCCGCTTCACTAGGTGTTCTTAGCTATTGGGATTATGATCCTTATTTGACCGGACAAACATACATTATGAATTACATTTTATTTCAATATTATTTTATTATTTTATTATTTTAACTTTTATTATTATTTCAAATAATAAATCATATCTCATTTTAATATAATTTACAGTTTTTATATTTTATTTTAATTACTTTTATAATAAAAGTAATATGATAATTTTCTAATTTTAACAATGTTTTAATTTATGAAACTTATCAAATTATTCATACATAAACTTTTATGAAGTTTAAATCCTTTCATTTCTTAGATATTTTACTTGACAACTCATCCTTTCATAAAAACTATGAATCATAGGATGAATACAAAAATCATCTTACTCAATTACGTATACAGCTGGCTAGCGATCGAGCAAGAGTTGCTGCAATAATTTAAACGTTTTTCTTTTTACAATATTCTCTAAAATTGCAAGCGATAAGAAAAAAGCGATGTATATGCATGCAACCAATAAACCTGTAAAAATATCTTACAAAAGCCAATGCATGTCATTCTCTGAGTTTTGTCCATCTCTTTTGTGTGAAAATGTGAAAAGATCACGACGAGACAATAGAAGATAAAACACCGACAAATGGTGCGGCCATCAACACAACCTCGTAAAAACCTTTCATTCTCTTTGTTCTTCTTCTCTTTATCCTTGTTTCTTCAGCTTCACTCCCTCTGAAACAAACCATTTCCAGCTCAACAACATGGCTCGTCTTCCTCTTCTCTTCTCCTTCTCCTCCATTATTTGTCTCCTATCATTAACTGCATCAGCCACCACCACCCAAACTACCTCAACGTTGGGAAAAGACCAAGTTCCAAGCATAATGTGCAATGAGTGCGAGCTTCCACCTCCACCCCCTGTCCGACCCCCAGAAAAAAAATGTCCACCGCCACCCTCACCTCCGCCGCCACCCTCACCTCCACCGCCACCCTCACCTCCACCGCCATCACCTCCACCACCTGTTGTTGAATGCCCACCACCGCCATTACCTTTACCACCGGTTGTTGAATGCCCACCGCCGCCACCGCCAAAGCCACCGTGTGGAGACGGAGTTATTCACTGCTTGCTACCTCCTGTACTGGGGACACCAGACGAACCGAACTACTTATTGCCGCCGCATATTCCGTACCCTCCGTTAACTTCAGATCTTGACTACATTGTCAACGGTGCAAAGATGATACGTTTTTCGAACCCTAATTATTTCTCTTTGCAATCCTTCATTTTTCTCATCCTTCTTTGCCTTCCCTATTACTTGTTTATCTGATTCATGCATTTGTGTTTCCATAATTCTTCTCCTCTCTCAGTGAATTATTTGCACGAGGAAAACAAACTGTGAAATGAAGAGGGTAGAAAATGAAAAACAAAACAAGTCTCTTCAGGCTGAAGCGTCAATTTGTTGTTTAGTTTAAGGTTTATGCATGTCTTTGATTACATTCGAATCATGTACAATTAAAAAAACCATTAGTGTAACTTGTTCAGAGGTTAATATGTATGTTAAATTCCAGAATTATTTCTCTTCCTCATATCTTCCATCCCCATTTATTGTTTGTCTTCTGACAGAAAAAACATCAATTAGCTATATAAGTTGTAAAACACAAATAAAGTTAGAAATTAATTATTAAATTAAATTTTGATATCAGGTAAATTATATAATTTTAATTTTAATAAATTTTTATTCTTTATAGTCTAATTTTTTATATAAATTAAATCTCAAGTAATATCTGTGTGAAAGTTTTTTTTTTATTATAGTTAAAAATATTTGTCATTTCTCAATAAAAAATATTTTTATTAAAAATAAAAAATAAAAATAATAATGATAAATCAGTGTACCACTTAATCAATAATTTAAAACAAATGTAAGGGTAAAACAATAATTTAAAAATAATCATAAATAATGTTTGGATATATGAGTTTTATTATGCTAAAATGATAAAATATAATTTTTATATGGATAAATTATTTTGAAGTGATAATATGAATAACTTGTTGAAATAAGTTAAAATTAAATAAAAAAATCATTTTGCTAAATATAAATTAAATGACCTTATCTAAATTTGATCTATCAATTTTATTTATAATTTAAAATAAATATTTTTCCATACATATTACAGTGTCTATGTTGTTTTCCAAAAAATATTTTAATTTATATCGGTTTTAAAAACTACCAATAACATATTAAGCGTGTGTTCACTTGGGGTGATTGGGGAGATTGAGGGTAATTTCTTTTTTTTTATTTGAGTGGATTTGAAGGTAATTGAGAGTGGATTTAGAGGTAAAGTTTGTGAGAATTAGTGTAGGATTTGATTGATGTGATTGTTTTAAAAAATTTGTTTAATTGGTAGAAATTAAAGATTACCAAAATGCCCCTAGGTATTAAAGTAATATAAAATGATATTTGTTAATGTTATATTTAATTCTAAAAATGTTTATTAAGAGTAAAAAATTAAAAATAATTTTTAAAAAGTAATTAGATTATAATTTAGTAAAATGAATTTATTTGAAAACGTAGTATTTGTTTGTAATATAATTTAGTTCCAAGTAGTATGAATTTATTTGTTATGGAAGTGAGATTTATTAATTTTGAATACAGCCGATAATTAAACGAGGTTATAATATTACATGTCATAATATAAAAACTGGGAACATAATAACATACAAATATATTTGTAATAGATCATGATGAAGTTGCTTCAGTGAGGTATGTAAGCAATCTATTGAAACGATATTGTGTTGGCATCCCTATTAGACGTCTTGTATGGGATGGATGTGAAGATAGAAAGTCGAAGCATTGTCTCAATAAATTGTCATCTTGAATGTTCATAGTCCGTAATAAGTTATGAATTTCTTCCGAAGTTGGGTTAGGTGATTGATTCCTAGCTGTTATCAGTGAATTTCGACGCTCCATGGCCTGTATTTGGCGTTCAAGAGCCACATATAGTCTTGTACTTTGAATAATTGTTTCTTTGCAGTTAATTTAGTTGACATAAATAGAAGTATGCAAAGTAACGTGATAGCAAGTACAATTCAAAAATATGTAATGTAAGAAATGTTAAAATCATAACTTTGGAACATCGAATAATAGTATATTGCCAAATATTAACATTTATGTATTAATAATATGTCAATATGTTCAGAATTAAAGTTGTTAGATATTTTATTTAGAACATGCAATATTGATCAACTAAAGTCCACATGCAAAAACAACATAGTAGTCACAGGTAACAATGAAACAAAAAAAAAATTATCTGTTAGTCACAGGTAACAATGAAACAAAAAAAAATTATCTGTTATAATTGTTGTGTGGACAGAATGAAGTTCACGATTGAAAGCTTGAATATATAGTTTGTATTTTTATGAGTATGATTCTATACCTTATACATTTCACTGGACGATGCCAAAATGCTTTGCAATGTCCATTTTTTATTATGAAAATGTTAAAAATATAAATTATACTAAATTTAAAAAAATAACTTTATTTACTAATTGATTTATATATATTAATTTAATAAATTTCATCATTGGTTATACAATGCTACATACTTTCAGTGACTAAGTTTATAAAAAACATTGCTTTAAAACAAAATTTATGAGAAAATATTCATGGCTGACATCTACTTTGAAGGAGATTTATAGCCACAATTATGAATTATATTTGACATGAATATTCCTTTTTTAAAAAGTTTTTCTAAGTTTGATCTTCCAAATTGTAATCAGGTTATGGACACAATCACACAACCAAGGTAGAAGAAGACTTGAGAAAAACACATTTATGATAAACAACCTTAAACACGTGGAAAGAAAAAAACAACCAACACTAGTACAAAAATGATTTTTTATACCTATTAAAAAAGGCTTTTTATACCTATTTTTTGGTAGGTATAGAAGCAAAGGATATAGAAAGTTTAGGATCTTTTATACTTATTCTTGAATCGGTGTAGAATGTTTTACTTTCCATACCTGTCTTATTCATAATAGGTATAAAAGTTTTATATTTACACTGAAAAAAAAAATTTCTTTTTATACCTACTAATGCTATAATAGGTGTAAAAAAGCAAGACTTTTTATACCTGATGTGGCTTTGACCGGTGTAAAAAGTGACGTTTTTTTTAAAATATTTTATTTGTATGAACTACTATCCATATTCAGACCTGCATAAGATTCAATCCCAGAATACAGTTTAAATAATCAATAACAAGTAAAATAATCAATATTGTTTTCATTAACACATCAAAATGTAATATTTACCTAACAAAGTCCCTAGCTATATTTACCTAACATAGTTACTTAACATATTACACATATAATAGTTCCTAAACTCAAAATGTAATTTTGAAGTATCCAATCATTTACAAATGGTTAAAATAAATGCAGCCCATTGTTCCCGAACATCCTTTATGACATGTTGTTCCATTGGAGACGTGTCATCAAATATCTACACAATGAATAGTTTGAGTAAAGTTATAATATTAATGGCTTAAAATCTTAGTTATAAAATGTTCATGTTACCAATTTCCATGAGTCAACGACATTTACGGATATAATTTTCTGCATGTGTCTCATGACATAATATCCGCACTCAAAGCTTCCCGGTTGACGTGAGAACTACAAGTTAAATTTAGGGTTAAATATGTTTTTAGTCCCTAAACTATTGGCCGTTTTTAGTTTCGTCCCTCTTTCAAAATAAGGTACAATTTGGTCCTTATTCTTTTCGAAACTTTGGTTTTAGTCCTCTAAAACTAACACTGTTAAAAATTAGCTGACGTGGCTAACGGTAGACTGACACACGATTTTTTTTTCAAGTGTTTCTCACCTTTTCTCCCTTCTCTCTCTTCCTTCCGTCTTCCACCCAACTTCATCTTTCACAGCATCCCTGGTTACATCTCTAATGAAGCTTGAGCTAGTAAGAGATTCAGCAGAGACATGGCTAATGAAGATGAACCCAATAACCACCTCTTGGGCATCAGAAATCTCTCTCATAAGACTTTCCTTCATAGCGATGCACTCTATCAGGTCAATTCAACAACTCTTTTATTCTCTCTTTCAAATTGTAACCATATTTTCGCTTGAAACCAACATACTTACTATTATTGCAGTACATACTTGAAACCAGTATTTATCCAAGAGAGCACGAGTGCTTGAAGGAGATCCGCGAGATGACAGAAAAACACCCTCGGTAAAATCATGGTCATTTTGCATTTCCTAATAAAAAATATGCAGTCTCTAAAATAAACCGTGCTTGTTCCAAATTCTTGGGAAATACTTGTTGAATAGTTTGGTAATGTTTTTTATAACAGGAACATAATGGCTACACCACCAGACGAAGGACAATTTCTGAGCATGCTTATTAAGCTCATTAATGCCAAGAACACCTTGGAAATTGGTGTATACACCGGTTACTCTTTAATATTGGGGAAAAAATTGCTTTGGTGATGGAGGAAACAAAGAAAGGGATTGCCATTTCCATGAGAAAGAAAGCTGGTTACGTTAGAGATGTAACCAGGGATGCTGTGAAAGATGAAGTTGGGTGGAAGATGGAAGGAAGAGAGAGAAGGGGAGAAAAGGTGAGAAACACTTGAAAAAAAAATCGTGTGTCAGTCTACCGTTAGCCACGTCAGCTAATTTTTAACGGTGTTAGTTTTAGAGGACTAAAACCAAAGTTTCAAAAAGAATGAGGACCAAATTGTACCTTATTTTGAAAGAGGGACGAAAACCAAAAACGGCCAATAGTTTAGGGACTAAAAACATATTTAACCCTTAAATTTATAAAGTATCATAAAATTTATAATTGTATTTATAGTTTGAAAGATTAACTACTTACAGTTGGTGCAATGAACTGCAACTTCTTTCTAGAGACGATATGTGTTCCCTGCAACCTTGAATATGCCTCAACCACTCTATAAAGTTAAATGTACATTGAAATGAGTCTTAAGGAACTTAGTAAAGTCAGATATGTCTACACTACAAATAAATTATTAAAAACTTACAATATTAGTGTATTTTTAATTGTCAAAGTGTGAGGTTTTTTGTGCAATGAACATAAGAGAACTACAAGAAATTGTTGAGGAAGAATTAGTAACAATTGCCAGTGACCCCTGTAGATTCAAACAATAATAGTGTTAAATAACATTTACGTAAATAAAATTTTATTAATAAAAATTATATACTTACTGTTGCAAATAAGGTGCTAAGTACACTTGCTTTTTTCCGTTTACAAAAGCCTCTAAGAGGTAGTTTTGGACCTCTTCACCTTTATTCCCAACTCCTTGAATGGCAACAGGGTCAATAAAACCATAAATGTGATCATTCTTCTTTTCAATGGTCAACCGATGTAAATACCTTAAACATTGAAAATGAATAATGTTAGAATAAAATATTGAATATATTTAAACTTCATAAATGTAGAAATTTACTTACAACAACCAAAGTTGTAGTATTGATATACATAACATATCAGTGCCAGAGAGAATTTCAAAAATATCCTTCTGACATATGAAGAAAGAGAGCGAAGATGTCCTGTTTGTGACTTCAGGAGGCATTTGTAACTCTATAGGAGAAAGGGAGATCTTCACTGCTAACACACCAAGTTGTTCTAGAATTATTTGTTGTGACGGCTGCGACTGTTGTTGCAGTGATTCATTCATATCTTCCTGCCCTTGTGCTTCAACCTGGTATACATATTTAAAAACTTACAAAATATTAATATTACTAATAAAAAACAACAAAGTGCCTAATTAAAACAATTACCTTCTTTACAATTGCTCTTGACAATCTAAGGGGCCAAAGGATAAAATTTCCAGGGGTCTGTCCCACTGTTTGAACATCCTCAGTGGGCACAGGGACTCGAGCTGTAGCATCTCGTACGTCTACAACCACCACTCTCATCATATCAGTTGTAATGGTTTCATGGTGCATGGTTGACCCCAATGTATACATTTTACCTAAGTTATCCAAATAATATTTGTAAAATATATCAAAGAATATGATTCAACAAACAAGTACATCTAGACAATATAATAAGATAAATTACCTAAGGCCACCAAGCACTGTAGGGCATCATCACTAAACAACTCGCACTCTGCATCAATAGTGGGAGAAGCGTTTTGAGGAGAAACATCACAACTCTCCTTTGTGCTTATACAAAGATGAGAAGGTTGAGGGAAATTCCTAGGTTGGCTTGAGGAGGAGGCGAATTCTGCTCGCACATCTGCTAACAATTGTGCCCGCATATCAGAGTACTCCTTCTTCAACTGTGCTCTCATATCACCGTACTCTTTCTTCATCTTGCTGATCTCCTCCCTCATCTCCTGTCTAATTTCTTCTCTTATACCCTTGAGGACCTCCTCACTGACATGGGCTTTACTGTGATGACTTGTTGGAGGACCAAAGAATTGACGGATGCCAATAAATTTACCAACACCTCGAACACGTCCAGAATGCTCTGGACGACCAATTGCAACTGCCAATATGTCCTCACGGCCCTCGGGAGTGAATGTACCTTGTGTGCTTTGCTCGACCAACTCATCCTACAACCAAATATTTAAAGTTAAGTTAATCACATATGGGAGATCATATGTTGTTATTATATGGACTTACAATGCGCCTAGCTATGCTCGCGGTTTCCTCAGATGTGTACTCCCTAGATGGTCTTTGACGAGCTCTCTTCCATGTAACATGGCGTGGAAGACGAGTTATGGCACTCGTATCGGAGGCCCCAATAGGATTAGAGGCAGATGCCTCTTTCATCATCTTCTGCTCCAATTTCTCATAACCCCCACGAGACAATATATGAGGGTGGACATTTTTCTTTGCGATCTCTTGTGCAGCTCTCCTCTTAGCCTAGTGTATATATAATTAATTATGTTAGCAATATGTTAACATAAATAGTTAAACTATGATATAAAATGAATTTACCTGAAAGACAGTATCTAATCGCTTCAACTTAAAGGCTTGCCATGTTTCCTCATCAAGAAATTGATACTTTTCACAAGGGCTTTTATCAGTTTTGGAACCATAAATATAATGACTTGTAAGCATAGTCTTGAAATTCTTCCATCTTTCCCCGACATATGAAATCCATTTCGTCCTCAATAGATTAATGTTTGGGACGTCATATGTGACCTGTGCAATAAGAATGAATGACATGTTAAATATGAGTTATATATGTTAATGACACATTATATCAAAGTTAAGATTTCATACCAGGATGCTCTGCCATATCTGGTTCTTCACATTCTCTGGAACATGATCCCAATCATCACAAAGAATGGATGCCTTGCTTCTACCGAGCAAGGCCACATAACTAATGAATTTCGTGTTATTTTCTCCCAAGGGTTTACAGGTCTGCATATAAAAAAGAATGGGAAGCCTATGATCAGCGTTGCGGGTGGCTACCAACTCTCTCAACCTTGTCCCAGACCTACCTTTTTTTTCGGGTAGGCGTATGAATGTCATCCGCACCTTGTGAAGGTGGGAGGTCACCAGATGGTGCGTCACTAGACATTTCCCTACATAAATCATTAAGTGTTAATAATAATTAATAGATAAAATAACAAAGCAAAATATATAATACATCTAAAATTTTAGTTTATACATTATCAAGTTGCAATGTTCTCCCACAACCCTTCGTGATGATCATCACGTATGGCATGGACGTCGTCTACTTCATTATCGACATTCAAGGTTGGCATATTTGATGAGAAAGATGGAGTTTCACTAATATCAAGAACGACTTCATCATTGTCATCAGTATAATGCATTGTTCTACCTTTGAGCACCACTGACCATCTATTGTCTTCGGGATCAGTGACATAAAACACTTGTTTTGCCTGAGACGCCATGATAAATGGCTATTCAGTATAACCTTCCTTTTCTAGGTCAACCAATGTAAAACCTAGATCATCTGTCCTCACGCCAGTATTACCATCAACCCACTTACATTTAAAAACGGGTACTCTAAAACTTGTGTAATCTATCACCCAAATATCTTTAATTACACCAAAGTAGCACATGGATGCCATCACAGGATTTTTGTCCTTTGAACTCGAGAAATGCATTGACTCGGCCACAACCATTACTCCACTATTTTGAGTGGTGCTTTTTTCATCTTCTTTTTGTGTATGAAATGTGTAGTTATTTATATCATACCCACACCAACATATGACATCAAAGTTTGGCTCACTTGATAGCCAATTTAATGTATCAGAAGTTGTATGGTCAGCTTGAACTTGTTTTTTAAACCACTTTAAAAAGGTTCTGTTGTGTTCATTAATGACCCACTTTTGAGGCATTCATGGATTATTTCTCTTAACTATATCTTTATGAGCACTTAAGTAGGGGATGACTTCTTCAGTGTTATTCAATATATACATATGTGCTCGTAGAATTTCAGCTCTATTCAGGGTGACAACTTTTGCACTTCTAGTACCCTTACCAACACCTCTTCCATGGTAACGAGACCTAGGTACCCCTATAGCTTCAACATCTGATAAGTAGTCTTGTCGCAACCGATATCGCGACGGGATGACAATAAAAAAAAAGAAACGGGTTTTGAAAAGAGATTTGGAGTCGCCACCATAGTTTATTCTGGAAAACTACGGAAAAACCATAAAATGATAAGGCAAGGTCCGCGAAAACTGAATTTCGGGTTCGGGAGTCGGTTACGTGTAGGGAAGGTATTAGCACCCTACAATGCCTGCCCTAAGGCAGTACCTTTAATTAAATACGCGAATTTAATGTGGTTTGCTAAATGTTTAATTATCCCTCAAATAAAAAAATTAAAGAAACAAAAAATATATTTTTTAGTTTTTTTGGCCCGACAAGGATTGACCTTGCTCCTACGGATTCTCATTCAAAATGAGAAATCAGGGTTACGTAGTTCTGGTTGAAAGATTGTTTGTTTGTTTGAAAGTGTTGATGTTTTTAGCTTTTGAAGATTTTATATATTTATTGATATTTTCGAGAAAAAGAAAGTAATGAGTACTAGGCCGACGCGAACGGTCACACGAGTACTCATACTTTTAGAATGGTATTTAAATATTTTTAATTATTTTTTTTAAAAGAGAAATAACGATATTAAGCACTAGGACGATGCGAACGATCACACGAGCACTCATACCGTTATCTACTTATTTAGGAAGACTTAAGAGTATTGAGTGCTAGGCTGATGCGAACGATCACACGAGCACTCATACCATTATTTAATTTTTTAGATTGAAGATATTAAGTACTAGGCTGATGCGGACGATCGCACGAGTACTTATATCATTATTTAATTATAAGAGAAAAAGGTATTGAACACAAGGACGATGCGGATGATCTCACGAGTGTTCGACCTTTAAAACATATTTTTGTAAATTTATTTAAGAAAGAAGAAAAGATTTTTAGCACAAGAACGACGCGAGCGGTCACACGTGTGCTTAACCCTCGAAATG